TTTTTTTTTTTTTTTTTTTTTTAAGTGCTCGATTCTGGGTTCAGACTCCAGTTTCAGTGAAAAATTTGGAAGGAAAGAAATTGCTCACAGTCTGGGAACAATCACATCTTCCATGGCTGCAGCCTCTTAATCTGCTGTGGGGAAAGAGTTGTTGCTGGCTCTGTGCAGTTTGGCTGCCTTTTATAAGAAAGTTCGCCTTTGGGTTTATTTTAAGTGGGAAAGGAGTCTGGGAATACACACTTGACAATAATCTGCAGGAGCTGCTTGAAGAAACTTGCTAACGGGCCCCCATCTATAGAAGGAACAGCCACCGTCGCTGAGTCACCTATAATGCTGCTGTCTGCCACAGTTTCTGTGCTGAAGAAGCAGCTCCTCAGATGCCGGGCTCTGAAGCAGGAGTGCTGGCCTCCACCACAGCCACCACTGGGAAGCCACCTGGGCTCCCACAAGCACCCTGCCCAGGTTCTCTAACTTGAGTTGACCCAGGCTGTGGAATTACGGGCTCTGTGTGGAACAAGACGAAGCTGAAATGTGCCAGTGAGGCTGAGCTGTCCCGGGGGCAAGAAGCACTGGGCTGGGTACCAGAAAACCAGAGCTCACGGCTCTGGGTTGTATGGTCTTTGAGGACTGTGGCTTTAGGAACTCAGGTCCTCCTCCTGACAGAGCGAAGGAAGAACAGAGAGGTGTGTCCTCCTCACCAGCTGCTGGACGGGTGCCTGTGACGATCATAGAAGAAAATCCAAAACCTTAAAGCAGATCTGACTCTAAAACAAGGCCTGCCACGAGGCATCCTAAGGCTAGACAGCCGGTAAAGACAGAGGATGTGGAATTTGGTGGAATTTGGTGGAATTTGGTGAGGCTGTGTTTGAAGGCAGAGTGCTCGTAACTTCCCCTCTTGTGCTGCAGAAAATCCCCACTGCTACATTTTAAAGCGCCCATTTGTCTGAGAGCTGAATTTATGGATTCATCCAGGAACAGTCCACATAATGCAGAAGAGCTGGGTCGGCATTGAGGTAAACTTGAATCTGGATACGTTGGGCCAGAACTCAGTTTTCCAGAAACCGACTGTAATTAAGACCGAGGCGTTGTCAACTACAGCGCAGCCATCCTCACTCGTAGTTCTGAGCGTTTAGTACATGCTGCACCTTCTCTTCTCAGCCAACACCCCCCACACGCTCTGCTTCCGGCCGGAATGTATCCAACTGGATTTGTATTCATCTGGGCTTTGTCAAAATATAAACTTCATGAACACAGGGGCTTCGTCTCATTCACCACTGTGTCTCTGATGCCTAGAACAGACCTGGCACCTAACGAGTCCCAATAAATATGTAATGAATGGCTGAATCAGCCTTGGCCAGTGTTCTAAGTCCCAGGCAATGCTTCTACCACCCTCAACAAGGAAGCCTACAGTTTTTTCCACAAGGGAAACCTCTTTGCTTGTATCTTTGATTCTTGATATTCTTATGTCTATAACACAGGGTTTCTATTGTTCACACCTCAGTTTTGTCTTGTTGTATTTACTGACGCATAGGATGGTGTTTGAGATTTCCTGAGTGTCTCTAAAGTATGCATAACGGGTGGCTAATAGGCTGTCTCTGAAAGATGAGTTCCTTCCTAAGTGTCTCAATATGCCTCAAAAATAGATAGTGAACTCTTGATTTCAAAGGTCATAAAGACTAAATGCTATATGATATCCAGGTTTGGATTGTGGGATAGAAAGAGGGTATCATTATAGAGGCTGGTGAAATCCAAATAAAGCCTAGAGTGGTGCTGTGTTAACTTCACAGTGTTCCTGAATACCAATGAATTGTGAATGCTAGGGCT